TAGGAGACAATGTTGAAGAAGATAATGAAGCTTTTTTAACATTTGCTGATGATGATGATTTCCAAGAAGAGTAGATTAAATTCATATTTGATCTTTTAAAAAAAGATTGTAATATTTGAATTATGAGATATTTGGATGTTACTTAGTCGAACTTATATATGTTATGGTTGTATTTTATTATTATGATAGATTGTCTTTCATTTTTAATAATATTTCATATTCATGCTTATTATTTTATATTTTTTATATAGCTTGCGCCATGTTCAAAATAGCGCGCGCTGCGCCATGGCTCCAAATGGACCTTTGCGCCATGGTGCGCCATTCGCCGTTAACAGGTATAGTCATGAGTGTGGCCGGCGGTCCAAAGGAGGGAGGAGATGTCGCCTTCGGGTTGAGGTCGGTTTTGATGGTGGTCTTTGACATGGGGAAACTAGAGGGTGAAATGATGTGGAGATGAGGGGATGCGATTGGGTGGGTGATGGTCGTCGGCTTGGGGAGGTGGAGCTAGGGAAGACTTGGGTGTATGAAGAGGGGAGAAATGAGATGAACAAAAATCACGAGTAAGATAGAAGTAATTAACGAACTCACAAAGAGATCGTAAGAACCGCGAACCTTGGACTCTTTCAAAGATTGACGAGTATTGCAAATTACCCTCCTCGGGTTTCTCCTCTCATGAACTCACTAAGAGATCAACATGAACTCACTAAGAGATCACCAAGAACATAAAATTTTCATTATCAATAATTCATCATCCTTACATGAAGAGGAGAAGGCTTTAAATAGCCAACAGAATAAAGAAAATACAAAGACACAATTGCCCTTAAGGCAAACACATGACGAGGCCCTTAAGCAAGAGCATAAACGGAAAGAAAGACAATAGACTCATAAAACATAAAATAAAATATATCAAATACAATAATAATCAAAAGTAGATCGTGGCCGTAGATCATTGATCTTCTGATGTCCTCATCAGTGTTTCATGGGTGTACCAAGTACGAATACATGCTGAAAAGGTTTCCAAATGAAGCCACATTCTTTTAAGTATGAAAGAAAAACACAGAGGTAACTGAAAAGGTGGCAGCAAATTTCAAGAAGCACAGTCTCAAAGGTAAGATTAAAATGGAAGGCTAAGCCATTACCTCCACTTCCTGAATATATGTGTCGTCAAAACCAGATTCATGTACTAGTTCTAAATACGAAGCAATCAAAAAGTCTGAAAGATACTTGCGAAGAAGATTGGCAGTTACTTGGTACCTTCCTTTCCTACATTTTATTAAAAATATTGTCAAATAACACATGGCACATTTCACTGGAAAGGAACTGAACATGGCTTTGTAATGGTTTAGTGCTCATAACATATGTACATAGTAAATCAATTATTACTTCATAAATGAACTTACTTTGCTGCATCATCAGCACAAATGGCAAACCAACGTCTCAATGAAGAAACTTTCTTGCGTATGCCTGTGAAATCATTTGGTGGCACTGGTAAGTTGGGCAGGGAGAAAGTATCAACCTCTATAGAGTTCACACCATAAACATGTTCAAGCGATGATAATAAATCGTCCGCTTTGATCTCTGCAAAGTATTCTGGATAAACCCAAATATGAGTAAGATAATTTTAAAACACTACATAAAAAAGAAAACAAAATACAAATACTGTAAGAAAAGTAATACGTTGATTCTAGAACAATCTATGATAGTCAAGATAGGTATAAGCATTGTGAATATGCCTTTTTTAATTCAATTACCATTCAGAATTTCTCCACCGATCTGAATAAATTCCCTAAAAAGCTTTCCCAAGTTCCAATTGCTAGGATGCTAGATAATAGATTTAATTATCAGCATGAGAGTCAATAAATAAACATCAAATATCCTCCACACAAATAAAAAATAAATTAGATTACCTTATTTGGATCAGAATTACTAAGTACAATTTCGTCAACAACTGCTTGCATATACCTGCATGGATTCTTCACTTTAGAGGCTAAGCACAGAAGTAGAAAAGAATGAACTCATGTCAAATGCTCATAAAAAAAGCATGTTGTCAGTATTGAAGATAGAAACTAAATTGATTCATAAATCAGATTATTGAAAAATTGAAAGTCGTAGCAGCACCTTTTATTTTAGGAAAAGGAATACTTGTAATTTTAATAAATACAATTTACAGGTTCAAAATATGGCCAAAGCTTTGAGCGACCCCCTAAGTATATAAACATGAGATAAGGATATGGCTAATTGTCTAGACAAGAATAAAGGTGTCATTCAAAGAATATAATTTTGAATTTTGTTATGTGGGGTAGCCCATGCATGCAAGAAAGTCAGCAAAATAGTTCGATGTCACTAAGGTGGACCGTATGATGATAAAGTAGTTTAAACCCTAAGTGAAGAGACCAGGGCATTGCACCACCCTTGTCAACCAAGGTTATAAATAAGGAATAGTGAATCTAATTCCATACTTTACATTACTTTAAGCAATCCAAATCTCCCAGCAAATAAAGTACGAAAGAAAACACTCAAGGGTATTGAAGAATCAAAGTTTGTGGAATTCCCCACCAAGTAATAAGAAGAAAAAAATATTATGAAGTGGTATGGAGAAGAAACACATAATTAAAAAAGAGTGTTGCCAAAGACATTAAGCAATTTTGCAGGTGATAAAAAAGTGATTTAGGGTCTTGGTAGAATTATCAAAGCCCACATTTGGATGCTAATGAAATTCCTTTAGATTGCACCAGCCCATTGATAGGGAGATCAGAATTCAAGAACTTCCGCATGAACAATTAAAATCATAGCAGGTAAGAAAAGTTTTCACACTAAGAGGATACTAAGTGAGGCTTGAGGCGAGTTCCAAAGAAGAGATGAAGCAGACTTAGAATTAAGTCCTGAGCCCAGAAGCTTCAATGTGGTGAGAGATGATAGGTTAGGCAACAAGCCATGGGAATGTTGAGTGAATGAGCTCCGGGTCCTAGATACTAGCATTGGTCTAAAAATCCTTGATGCAACAATAGGTTGAAAGGAAAGAGGGACTGTTTGTAGGGATGATCCTCACTTAGCTAGCAATCCTACCAAATAGAGGCGTTGTTGTTTGAAATGATCCAATTGATATTATTATTGACAATGAATCTTAACTTACACATCACATTCGAGAGCGAGAACCAACTTGAGAGCAAAGAGTTGGTGGGCGTTTGATAGTATTTTGCTGACAAGAAGACTACCATGGTCCAAAGGGATTGCGAGGAATGAAATTTCCACATAAATTTCATGTTTATGTAGAAATGTCTTCAAATCAATTTAAACCAAGATCATGTATAAAGTTCTCGGCTACATTTTTGTAATGAGGTTAACTAGGTCATTACTTCTCATAGATCTAGCCTATCTCCTTTACAAAAGTTCTTGGCCTTAGTAGATCTAGCCTATCTCAGACTCCAATAGGTGGATATCCTTATGGATTAACCTTAGGTTTATTCGACCCTAGGAAAAACCATATGTGCCCAACTTGATTGGAGATATTAATTTGGGATTCAAATTAATTCAAAATGGGGGCTTGATTGGGGCAGCAGCCAAGGGAAGTTTAATGGGCATTTAATGAGGGTCTAGGTGGCGAATTGGAGAGAGAAAGGGGCTAGAGAGGGGGGGTGGCCATATAGGGGGGAATTTGAGGTGTTTTTATTTAATATGTGGGCCCGGGAAAGATTTAATTGGGGATTGTCATTAAATCTGAAATTGATTTTAGATTTTAATGTGTTTAGGAGATTTCCTAATATACGTTATTAATAGGGTGAGGCGGAGGGAAAGGGGATGGGGTTTTGGGAGGCCGGCGGGTAGGGGGCTAGCGAGGGAGGTGGAAGTAGAGGAAAAGAAAAGAAAAGATTGAAGCTGCGAACCTTGCAATCCTCCGAAGGTTGACAGGTATTGCTTTCACCCACCTAGGGTCTCTCCTCTCAAGAAATCACTTAGAGATCAAGTAAGAAATCTAAAATTTCATTCATAATTCATCATTCGATACAATAAAGGAGGCCACAATATATAGGCCTAAGGAACTAAAAATACAATGACTCAAATGCCCCTGGAGCTACAACTCAAGCAGACTCAAAAGAAAGGGTACAACCGTAAATAACAACTAATACATAAAACATCGAAATAAAGACTAAGCATCAAAATAAATGTTGTGAATTGTAGCCATCGATCTGCGACTTCTGCACTGATATACTCGTAGAAAACGTCTGTCGATGTCCTCATCACCTACATTTGTATTCTTGTGTATCTAGTATATACTTGACAGCTAAATTATTTAGTTTTCATAGGAGTTTTAATTTTGAGTGTTTGAATTGAAAGAATTTTGAAATAAATTTAAATTGCCCATTCCTGACTCAATTTACTCCCTTGTTGACGTGCCCTAACCAATAGAGTTACCCTTATTCGAGCTAGTATTCTGTTTTTTACCTCCAACTGAACCCTCCTCTTCACTATTTTCTGGTGTTTCTAGCTCCACCACTACTCCCAAACTTGCAAAGTACACCAAGGCTTCTAGCCACCATTCTTCCAAGCAGTACTATATTACAAGGATATCTTGTATTTTCATTGCCCATCTCACATGCCAAGTTTCTATAACAGCAAGCAGGCGAAATAAGCAAAAGCTGAATTCTGTACAGTTATTTTCATTTCATGTAGAAGTTTGCTAGCGACTGACAAGGAAACCGTAAAAGCGTTAACGTCACTTTCCTAACTAACTTGGTTGCATTAAATTTTGGATGCTTCTAGAATATATAACAAAATGTCAGTTGAGGTGGCCTGCGTGATGCGTCTAATTAGAATTATATGAAGCCTGATAAATGGTGGCAACTTACTGGAAAATTTGTTGTCGGCAGCTCTCAGAATCTCCTGTCAGTATCAATTGCCGCAGATTATAGACATGCTTTCTTTGTACCTGAAAAAGAAATAATATGTTATGGTGATAATATAGAGATTTAATTAAATGGTAAAAAAACATGTCAACAAAGAATGGTGTGTAAGGCAAGCAAAGCAAATGTAACTAATAATGTTGCATAAGGCTCAGCAATGACCGTAATGTTTTATTCATAATGGGAAAAGGATCAAAATGATCCCTTGAATTTTTATGAAGGACCAAAATGATCCCCAACTAAATTAAAGGACCATTTTGGTCCCTCAATTCTTTAAAAAGGAATCAAAATAATCCCATGGTGGGACTATTTTGATTACTTTTTTATAGAGTTGAATGCCTAAAATGGTCATTTAATAATAGTTAGAGACTATTTTGATCGTTTATAAACAGTTAAGGGATTATTTTAGTATTTTTCTCAAAAATGAAAATTGACAGTTTATAATATAGGGGAAAATGGCACACGGGTGAAATCAAAGTCAACGTGGGATGACTGAAGAAAAAAAAGAGGATATGTTGTTCGAAGTGAACAAAATATTAGAAATACTGAATATAAATGCAGAAAATAAAGGCTACAACAATTCCAGCTTAAGAACCTCCACTTTATGCCAAGGGCCAACTACTTGGCCCAATTATTACTAGCACATATCAGTTAAATAAAAAATAGCCAGATTAGCTGCTACCTCAACACTACAAAAAAAAAAAAAATCATTTCCGGCAGATTTAAAAGAGATGCAAATTTCAACGATGTTTCCAGCCAAAATTCACAGGAAAAAAATTATATAGCGCCAGTTTATTTTCCACCAAAAATTATGGTGGAAATTTATGTCAAAAATTTACGATAATAAATTTCTGACAAAATTCCAAAGAATTTTCAGTTGGAAAATCTTACTTAAAACAAGCAAAAAATTTCTGCTAGAAAATCCCATAGAAATTTCCACTGATGAGGCCCAAATTTTGAACTGATAGCCCCTTTCTGCTTCACTTCATGCGAAAAGAACATAGTAGTCACCCTTTGGCCATTTTCTCCTGTTCCGATCACCTAGCTCATCCTAGTTGGTTTCTAAACAGATTTTGTTTACTTCTTCAAGGATTCAAAGATAAATCTTTATCACAATATAGTGTAGTATATTTATAGTATACTATAATATATAGTATAGTATAATATAGTATAATTATAGTATAATATAATTGCAATATAGTGTTGTAGTATAGTTATTATATAGGTTCTAAGAATAGTTTGAAGTTTTTTTTTTCTTATAATGTGATTTCTATTAGATTAAAGTCTTGTTTTAGGTTAGATTTAAAATTTTTTATAGAAATTTTGTAAAATTTTATATATTCATTTTTTTATTTATGGTAGAAAATTTAACATTACCAATTATTTTTATAGATTTAATGTAGGAAGTTTGTTTGTGGTTTTAGGAAAAAATATTATATATTCATTTTAAGTTAAAAAAAAAAAAATTTAAGCGAGTGGAATATTTTGGGTAAGTGGAATGATTACACGTATCTAAGTTTTTAATTTAAAATTTTGACTAAGTTTATTCCGTTCCAGCGTATATATTGACATTTGTACTCAAATGTCATGGATATATAATAAATTGTCACTTGGACGAAAAGGTCTGATAGATGAATTCATCAATAGAGTCGAATATTTCATTCATGCGTATATTAATTGTCTTCATTTTTATCAAAGGAAAAAATTTAGATGGCCTTCTCAAAGCATAAAAATCAAGCATACCTAACCCAAGGCGATATTAGGCTTGATTTGTACCGTAGAGGCTTCCAGCCTAATTACTGGTTATGGACTTCACATGGAAAGTACAATCTATATTTCAACTCTTAATGTGATCCTTCAACAAGTTACACAATAGTTAACGAAGAAGATATTATGACATAAAAAGGTGGAATTCAATATAGCTTGCCCATAATTTAAAAAACATACATATGAGTCACCTAATATTGATGTACAAAACTTTTATGAATTACTACGTTCAACTCAATAACCAATTTGGAACAACTTTACCTAATATTAATGCACACAACTTTTATGCATTCGATGCAGCTAGCACATAATATAGAAAGGAGTTCCATTTAACAATTGTTTCACATACACATCATTCCAAGGGGTTAATGTCGCAACCCGACCCGATATGACCTAAAACTATACAAGTCATACCGTGTCCAATTGTGGCAAGACTCAAACCCTAATATCTAGTTGGAAAAGTACCAAAACAAATCTTCCAATTTAAACACACCATAGAGTCACCACTGAATACAAATAAAACAGAAGACTACTGAATCTCAAAATAATTGTCTATTTATCATCCCAAAATTATATGTCAAGTATATAACAACACTAATTTTGGATGTCAAAATAAATTTTTGAATATACAAAAATTGTTACTTTTTCAAAATAACTTGACATATAATTTTCAGAAAATATTTAAAATGTTCAAAATTTTAATCTCTATATTATATAAAAAGTTGCACAGTAAAAGATTTACCAAAACAAAGTTATACTTATTTTTCAATAAAAAAATACAAATTTGATCGTAAAAAATCTCAAAAATATCAAATTATTGAAAATTGAAATAGAAAAAACATAAACTACCACGAGATTAGTAATTTTCCCAACTAATCCAACGAACAAAAACAGCTCTACGACCATCAAACCCTAGCTTTCTCTCTCCTTCCATCTCTTTTTCTTCCTTTTTTTTGTATTTCTTCTCTATTGCACGAAATGAAAAGGAAATTGAATTGGAAATGTAATTTAATAAATTATGTTATGGTTTTAAATATATTTTTTATAATATAATAATAAAAGAATACAATTATAATTAGGTCATTTGTTTAGTTTTTAATAAAAAAATCTTTATAAATTCTTTTATATCATTAAATCTAGGGATTCAAAAATTATGGATAAATATTCATAAGTTAGCTAAGCATGTCTAGAATAATCAGGTGAAATCGGTTTGTGAAACAAATATCTAACAGTCCAAAAAAATCCCACTTGTACTAACATGTGCCAATTTCTTAAGGAATTGCACCAATGCCTAAATTTTTTTTTAAAAAAAGTATCATAGGTGTAGCAAAATGATATCAATTTTATGGTGAAGACGATTTGTAATTTGAGCTTATAACAACTCCCGAATAAATTTTTTATTGTTGTAGGTCGAATTATATATATATATATATATATA